TAAAAAGCTATGATTCCTAAGGACTTTTTGTCTGCTTCATAGTTCTGTGAGTTATATATTCACATTTTTTGTTAATACTCTTTTTATATATATAGTCTATAAATTTGATGGGATGGAAGAATAGAGATAAGAAAACGAAAGAGGTTAAAAGCAAGACCAGTTTTAGTCTGGAACGGACCTTTATGCTTCCATTGTACTAAAACTAGAAAGCCAGTGAGTCTTAGATTTTGCTAAGATGTTACCTAACTCTTCTACAAACCCCATTCATTGTAAGTGCTTATGCAACAAGAAACTTGAGTCTCTAAGAGGACAGTCCAGCTACTATGTGGACCTTGAACCCAGTACATAGAAAGAGACAGTTGGGGTGGAGCTAAATGAGAGAAATCAGTTCTTGGAGAGCAGGTAGATAAAGTTGACAACTGGGTTTAGAGGAAATTTCATACACCACAGACAGCACAACCCAGTTCTAGGTAACGATGAGATGAAAACATTTTCTTCGGCCAAGCTGAGCGCGCAGATGATTTGCCAAGCTCCTGGACTTTGTCTTACTCGTCAGTACTCATTTTCATTCTGGAAGAAGCTGAGGTTGCGTCTTTTAGATTAAAGCTATTAAAGGAATCATAATTGCCGGTTTGCGTCCTGTAAGTAAAAGTTCTGTTCTAGAGATGATAGGTGGGGTGTGTTTGGTGGCTTTAGAAGAATGAATTATCTAGATATATATATATATATGTAGTATATATTGAAAAGATATTTTAAAAATTAATTTCTAAGTTCTTCCTATGTTGATATACTTTGAGTTTTATACATTTCCGTGGAAGTTTTCTTAGAATAAGGCTGTTAGCATAAGGAATCATCAGGGTTTGTTTCGATCTCATGCCTACAGTGTATATTCATTTCCTCCTCCTGATCCTGTACCCTCCTACTCTATTTACCATTTCATATCTTTGCATAATTTCACTCTCATATGAAAGTAAGTAGATCTTATTTCTGTCCCTTTTCCTAGTAAATGTGAAATGTATCCTGCAAAGATTACATTTCAAAACTAGTGTATACTTTGAGAAGTATTTTGAAATGTGAACATAAATATCTGGTCACGGATGTGTCTGAAGAGATCAGGTCACTGATTGTCACTGCCTCTCTCTCACTAAAGAATAATGTTGTACTTGAACAACTAGGACTCAGTGGTTAACTTGCTTAGTTACTATCCAAAAGATCAGCAGTTCGAGTCCCTCACTCTCTCTGCAGGAGGTAATAGGGCATTCGGCTTCCATTCAGATTCACAGCCTTGGACACTTTCGGCAGCTCTGGCCTATGGAGTCACTATGAGTCGGGATGGACTCACTGGTAGAGTTTGGTATTAGTGGGAAGAATACACAGAGGTTCATCAGGAATACAATTTTTTAACTCAATCCTTTTTTTGGCATCGTATGCTGCAAAGTTAAAATTATAACTATTCATTTTCCCTTTTGGCTCCTAGCGTTGGAGCTCCTGTTGGATTCATCTTTATTTTCTTCAATATCTTGTACCAGAAGGTACTCAGCAAATAATCACTGAATCGATTGCCACAAGCCATGTGAATAATAGAGAATGAAATTACCCATTATGGTTTCCTTATGCTGTAATCATTTTCCAGCCTCATAGGGGAGAAAATAAAATCTGTGACTTTAACTTTAATCTCTTTATGAGGATGTAATAGTCTGTGTGGTTAGGAAAAGACCAGCAACATCCTTTCTTTCCGTTCTTGTTTCACTTCGTTTGCCTGGTTCAGAATCATAATATGTGTCTCCTCAGCTAGATCCCTGTGACCTCTCTGTCCTGCCATAGTTTTGGGGGGGTGTTTTTTTGTTTCATAATCAGGAAACTGCTGCCCGTTTACCATTTATTCAATCATTGACACCTGTTGTGTCCTCTTGTTTTGTTGGTAATTTTTAGTGTAGTCTGTTTTTTAGTGTTTATTATTAAAAGTTTGTAGACAAAGATCATATTATCTCTTTGTACTTCCAGCTAGTACCTTTATGACAATGGTGTTAATAATATAAGATTATCAAACTTATTAAAAAGTAATATTGTGTTTGGTGTAAAGATTATAAAAATTCAAAGTCAAACTTTATATGACTTATGGAAATAAGAACTTGTTTCTTGTTTTTTTTCTAATTTGTTTTTATTAAAAGATCATTTTGTTGGGGACTCATAACGCTTGTTACAATCCCTACATCGATTGCATCAGTACATATGTTGCCTTCATTCTTTTCTAGACATTTACTTTCTTTTGAGCCCTTGGTATCAGCTCCTCTTTTTACCCCTCACCCCCTCTTAAGCCCTTGGTAGATTATAAATTACTATTATTTTCATATCTTGTGCCAACCGCTGTCTCCATTCCCCCATGTTCCCCCCCCCCTAATGTTTTCGGTTGTTCTTTCCCCTACCTTTCTGGTATCACTATTCCCACTCCTGTTCCTGGATTCCATGTGTCATGAGCCCCCATCTCTATCTATACCTGTGTCCATGCTCTGGTCTAGTCTGAATTGAGAAGCAGCACTGGGGTCATGATAGTTGGGGAGAGAACACCTCAGGGAAAGGAACTTGTTTCTTAACCTGCTGTCAGAATCCTGGGATGGGATGTAAGAGAGAATAAATGGTTGTAACCTAAATATTTGTACTTTTGAAGTAGACACACGACTCCCTGAAAATATATCTCCTGTCCACCTCCTGTGGAGGTGTTCCCTTGATCAGATGCGCTCATGTAACCCTGAGCAGTTCATTCACAGCACTAATCACACCATGAAATAGTTTGGTTTACTTGTTTATCGTTTCTCTCCCCCACATAGTACCTCTTTAGTCCCACTCATTGTTGAACTGCTTATTGGTAGTTGCTGTTGTGTCAGTTCCAACTCATGTAAACTACAGTTCCAACTACAGAGTAAACTGTTCCACAGGATTGGCTTGGTTGTAATCTTAATAGATGCAGATCACCAGACCTATCGTGAATGGTCTCGCTGGTCGGTTGGAACTACCAACCTTTGCGTTGGCAGTCAAGTATAAACCACTTGGGTTACCTAGAGTAGGGAGGGACCCGTGACTTGGAAAGTCTGATGCTACTCTTTCCTCGGCAAATTGTGGTTAAGGAACCCACCAGGAGACTTCACCAACTCCACCACTCCCACCCTTAGTCCCCTTGCAGAGCTACGGAAGTTCCTCCTCTTGTCTCTAGTAGATTGGTTTTTGCAATAAAGCAGTCATGTGGCAGTAAAGATACAAAACGAAATGTTCCCTTGTCTAGACATAATTTAATTAGAATATCCAATTTATATGTTGTGTTCTGTGTTTTTAACGCTAATGTCTTGCTAAGATTGAAATTGTATCTAACTTCTCAGCACAGTACTTGCCTAAGGCAGCAATAGACCTTTCTTCAAATCTGAATTAGCTAAAATCTGTTTGTGTTATCTGTGAAAATGCATTCTGGATATCCTGATTAAACATAAGTCATCCAATTAGGTAAATTATCTGAAGTACTTGCTTTTTATCTACTGACATTTATGATTAAAATAGCCTTTGAGTATTTAAATGTTATAAGTAACATTGATTTGTACATTATTACAAATTATCTGCTTCCAGCAAACACAAAGGAGCCACTTTTCTTCCCCTTATCTCATATTTGAACTTGAACACATATTGGGTATGTCTGTGAAAAGAACAATTCTGCAGAATAACAAACAGTTTAAGTGCATGGTCCCTGCAGCCATAACCTCCCCATGTAATCCCTTTTAGCACAAATTACTTCCATTGCCCTCTGTAGATTAGGAAAAATAATCCTAGTCAAGGTGTTAGGGCAGCATTCATTCATTCGCTGAATGAAATTCCATGTAGACCTGCAAAGTATTTATCAAGAAACAAGATTGTACATCTTTTTAATTATTATATACAATTTCTACTCCTTTTTTAAATAATTTTTTTCTTTGCATGCAATTGCTTTTTCTTAAAAGGATCTTCTGCTGAATCAACCTTTCCTAGAAACAATGAATCATTCCCATCACAGCGTGGCACCTCCTCACCATCACCCGACCACGGCAACCGCGCACTCCCACAGCGGGGGGGATGGTCACATGATGAGTATGGTAAGTGAGACAGGAGAGCCAAACTGGGCCTTTCCTACCCCCTGGAATCCCTACTTGGAAAGAAATAGTAGAATTATAATACTGGGAGTCATTTGTTATCTTTGAGGTCAGTTTAATAACCTTAAAGAAAATCTAAGGACAAGATCATGTGGCAAATTCGTTACAGAACCAAGATTTCTGGGTTTCTTTCCCATAGTGACAGTGCTTTCTTTCAGATTGAACCATTTCTCCATGCAGCTTTAGCCTTTATGCGTTGGAGGAGCCTTGCTCGTGTGGTAGTTCCACATCGAATGCTAACCTCAGGGACAGCCATTTGAAGCTACCAGTTGCTCCTCAGGAGAAAGATAAGGGATTTGACTCCCACATCGATTTACAGTCACTGAGACCCACGAGGGCAATGCTTCTCTGCCCTGTGGGATTGTCATGGGAGGGAATCGACTCAATGCCAGTGAGGTCTTTTGTTTGTTTGCTTGCTTTGTTTGGGGTTTATGCTTTGTGTAGAAAAGGGATGAAAGACAAAAGGTGGCGACAAAGGAGGATGCTTTTGCTTCATTTCTGAAGTTATAGTACCAAAGGAGGGACGAAGCCTTCCCTCCATGAAGGTCTTCTCTTAACTTGTTAACTAGACATGCTACTTTTGTATGTTCTGAACTTTGGGCCTGGAAATTCTCCTTTGGGATCTGCAGTCATCAACAATTGGCTTGTTTTGATTTTTCTGACAGCCTATGACTTTCTACTTTGGCATTAAGGATGTGGAACTATTGTTTTCTGGTTTGGTGATCAAGACAGCTGGAGGTGAGTAAGCACCGTGTGTGGAGGTGACAGTCAAATGAGAGATGGGGAGAGTCTTACAAAGCACTACAGGCAGAGTCTGGACAGCCAGCACCTCTTTCTGCCCGAAATACTGAAGCAATATGGTTACGATGCATAACTTTCCCCCTATTTCCTACCTAGAAGGTGAGAATACATAAAGTTTATTTTGGTCTTCTGATACACCTGGTCTTCTGGTACAAATAGCAATCTATTTTGTAGTCTGAAAAGTAATTTGAGATATACCAGCTAGACATGTTTTGCAATCCATGTCCTTTCATCCTTTCCCAGAATGTTTCCTTATTTGATAAAGTATTGGTCCTAGACATGAGACAACAGTCCAATTCAAATGGCAGAAGCATTCTGTAGATACATACCGTAGACAAATACTGATCCAATAAACCCTCTCATTTACAGGTGAAATGACTATTATGGTGACTTGCCACCTGTCACACAGAGTTGTGTGTCCAAGTTAGGACAAGGAGGCATACCTTCTAGGCCTCCCTGGCCCAGTACTCTTTCTGGTGTACCAAACTATGGTCTGCATCCTTTTTGATGTCATTCCTAGTTTTAAGGTAGCTGATTACCCACATTTTTGAGTCCATAACAGTGACTTGTTTTAAATGTAAATCACACACGCTCAATACTTGCTTGGATATAGCATCTGGAGTCTAAAAGGCTTGAAGATAAACAAGCGGCCATCTAGCTGAGAAGCAACAAAGCGCACATGGAAGAAGCACACCAGCCTGTGTGATCATGAGGTGTTGATGGGATCAGGTATCAGGCATCAAAGACCCAGAACAAAAATCATATCAATGTGAATGAGGGGGGCGTGAAGACCCAAAGCCCATCTGTAGACAACTAGACATTCCCTTACAGAAGGGTCACAAGGAAGAGATGAGCTAGTCAGGGTGCAGCATAGCGCCAATGAAACTTACAACTTTCCTCTAGTTCTTTAATGCTTCTTTCTCACCATTATCAGGACCTCAATTCTACTTTACAAATCTGACTAGACCAGAGCATGTACACTGCTACAGATAAGAGCTGGAAACACAGGGAATCCAGGACAGATAAACCCCTCAGGACCAATAATGCGAATAGAGATACCAGGAGGGGAAGAGGAAGTTGGGGGGATAAAGGGGAAATCGAACACAGTGACTACATATAACCCCTTCCTAGGGTGATGGACAACAGAAAAGTGGGTGAAGGGAGACAGCAGTTGGTGTAAGACATGGGGAGGGGGGGGATTATAAATTTATAAATTATCAAGGGTTCATGAGGGAGGAAGGGTGAGGGAGGGGGAAAATGCTTGAAAATGATGATGGCAACATATGTACAAATGTGCATGTATGTATGTATGTATGTATGTATGTATGTATATATGTATTGTGATAAGAGTTTTAAGAGCCCCCAATAAAATGATTTTTTTTTAAATAGTTGCTTGGACTGCTTTAGGTACTGGCTGTATCTTTGGATGCCCAAAATCCGTTTGTGTCGGGAAGAAAGGAAAAATGTAGTTGTTAGTGTGTTAGATTAGCAGTTAGAGTACATTTTTTTCTTTTTTTGGTTTTAATTCATTTATTTAAGGTTGCACAGATAGAATATGAAAGAAACCCAGAGTTCCAAGCTCCTGAAGTTAGTCTATGCCCTATTGTTGTTACCCTAAGCTCCAGTTTGTGTTATTTTTTTGGTTGGGTTTTTTTTGTTTGTTTGTTACTTTTTAAAAAATACTTTTATTGGGGACTCTTACAGCTCTTATCACAATTCATCCAATCACCCATTGTGTCGAGTTAGAATACATTTATAGTATTACTAACACAGTGTGAAAGACATAGATGCCTATTCAAGAAATGCAATCAGCCCTTAAAAAATAAATTATTCTCTCACCGTTTTTATAGTCTACATTTTGTCACCAAACAGCCACACCTGAAGATTATTTTTGTTCAAATTGTTTGCATCGTAACCAAGAAGTAAGCGTGTGTTTTTCAGCAAAGGCAACATTTTCCACTACAACCATTTAGTTGCTTTCCTCCCACCTGGTCAAGTGGAGAGGCCAGAGTGGATTATTCAGGGTCTGAGAGTGGCACTTTTTCTGGGTTGCCTTTTTAGCGCAGATCGCTCACTGGCTGATCATTTGTGCACGTTTGACGATACCATCATCTTTTCCTTCCTTCTCAGAAATGGCTGGAGCTTTTGTGGCAGTGTTTTTACTAGCAATGTTTTATGAAGGACTCAAGATAGCCCGAGAGAGCTTGTTGCGAAAGTCCCAAGTCAGCATCCGCTACAATTCCATGCCTGTCCCAGGGCCAAACGGGACCATCCTAATGGAGACACACAAAACTGTTGGGTAAGAAGATGTGACAGGGACGGGTGGAAGTTCTGGAGGGCTGGATTAGCTAAGCAGCAAAGCAGCTAACTTTAACTAGCAGCAACCTTCATCTTGAGTTAACACTTCTCTGTGACCTTGATCAAATTGTCTTTGGAGTTTTCGGGTTGTGGGTCTTGAACAGGCCAAGGGGAAATTATAGAAACCTTTTTGCAAACATCAGTGTTTGTTCTGAATTGTAAATGTTGGTGACTTTGGAAGAAATAAGGAATATGCGTTTAAGTATTTGCCAAAATAATAATGAACAAGTTAAGAAATTCAGTCAGAATACAGAAAAATGGCAGAATACAAGTGTTCCTGTCAACAAAAACCTGTACTTATTTTGTTTCTAAGACTGTACTAATGTTTCTGCTCTAAGAAACCATTTGAGTTAACAACTGAGGTTTCCCACAGAGGGCAAATTCTTTTTGAGATTCAATTTGATAGAATGTAGGTTTTAAAACTAGATGGCACTTCAGGAAGTCCGTGAACCAACCCGCTTCCCAGCAAACCGTGGCAAACCTGTAAGAGCCAGCGCTTGATAGAGCCGCCTTGTTTCTGGAACTTGAGTTTTCTGCCTTTAGCAGAGTGTATTACCATTTTTCTTTTCCTTCTTTTTTCTCTACCATTTTTCTATCGCTGGCTTTTGTGGAAAATATTTTGAGGGTTTTTTTCCCTGACAGGTTTCCATCTTACACAGCCTCTGTCTTTAACAGGTGTTACTTGATTATTGTTTCCCATTGTACTGATGAGCTTATAAGCCAAATAAGTTGTGACTTGCTTGACGCAACAGAGCAACTAAGAAGCCAGGTCTCCTAATTCCTACCACCACCCATCACTCAATTCTATTTCCATTTTTGTAGAATGTAAGCTTTGCAAAGATGGAAGGCCTGTAAATGTTCAGGCAAATAATTGTGGGAGGGTCTACTAGTGCTTTCACTTAGGGGGTTCCTCTTCCTCTCACTCCTCCTAATCCCCAAAGGGGTCTTCCTATGGCATATAACCACATCCCAGTGGCGCTTATGAACCGGACAGCTCCATCATGGTTCATTGCCAGGGCCCGAACAAGAAACAAGATTCATTTTCCTATGAGTTGCTCAGGCGCCTCTTAGGGAGTCCTTTTCAGCCTTCACTCATGACTGCAACTGTTCCCTTCTCCTGATTGCAGAGTGCCGCATACTCTGGGCCCCTGATTGTTGTATCCCTATTACCTCTGCAGGCAGCAGATGCTGAGCTTCCCTCACCTCCTGCAAACAGTGCTGCACATCATCCAGGTGGTCATCAGCTACTTCCTCATGCTCATCTTCATGACCTACAACGGGTACCTGTGCATCGCTGTGGCAGCGGGGGCCGGCACAGGTTATTTTCTCTTCAGCTGGAAGAAGGCAGTAGTAGTGGACATCACTGAGCACTGCCATTGACCGAGGACTCCAGGGTGTGGCCTTACTGATTGCAATGGAAAGCAGGTTGAGCTTGGAAGACACAATTCCAACCCCAGACACCCCTTCGCTCCTTGTCTCCTTACACACACAAACACACTTGCTCAACAGGTTTAGATTATTGTCTCAGTTAAAGTGGTAACTCCCCAGACTTCTTTGCTAATAAGCTGAGATTCCTATTTCTCTTGAGAAGCCACCCATGAGGTGCCCTCTCCTCCCCCATCATCTTAGATCCAAGTTAGATGTTCTTGACTAATCCAGGTAGCTGTATATTCAGTGACATGATCTCCTGATTCCTTTTTAGTCACTTGGGGTTTTTTTAACAGACAATATGTGAAGTTGGTCATTTTTTGTTCTAGGTAATAGAAAAAGATATTAATTTCAACCAGGATTGATTGCATCTGAGGAAAATTTTTGCCCAAGGTGAACATTAGAAAACACGTGCCAGTTTGGGGACCGAATGACTGGGAAATACATTGTGCCTTTCCCTGGGTGTGTGCGGTGCGGCACGCAGAGGGGTGGTTTGACTGAATGCGGTTTGTGCATTCCCGGGCCGCTGACTCATCAGCTGTGAACCCACTGAACACTTTTGATTAGAATGAACTTGCCAAGTACAATTTTTTTAAGACAATACATTTGAGAAAGTAGAAATCGATATTTTAAAATAAAACTTATCAGTGTTTAACTTTGACTTGGTACCTTGTTTTGTCACAGCTGAAGGGAGCAAATCATTTTAATCTAACTTTTCCCATGGACGGTTCTCATGCCTCTGCCTTCAAACCAGTGGGTTTCCAACTCTGACATGTACCAGAAGCTCCGGGAGGGCTTGTTAAGACAATGGCTGCTGGGCCTTCGCTCTGGAGCCCCAAATGGGTATGTCAGATAAGTCCCAGGTGATATTCATGGGATCACACTTAAGAGAATCTCTGCTTTCAACCAGGACTTTGAACCAGTTGATACTGGTCTGACTTCCTGCCAAGAATGTATACAGAAGACTCAACCTGGAGCGCTTGTTAAAATGTAGTTTCTGATTCTGTACAAAGGGGGTGGTGCAAATACAACTTTTCAGCAAGAGATAGATGAGAATGACCTGTTTTGAGCCCTGACTTAAATTCTGGTAGAGGCAACAGGTGGGTGAACTGGTTTGGGGCACAGCCATTTGAATTGTTGATCAGTAGGTGGTTTCTCCAGACTTAACTCATATATTAAATTCTGCTAGTTAAATACTTAATCATTCCATGAACACTGTTCAGCTCCAGCTGTGTGTATGTGTGCCAGAGCATGTGTGTGTAGCCATAGCCTACAGTCAGTCACTGTTAGATCACATCTTTACTTTTAAAACTGCAATTTCGTGGAAGTAGCTTGAAGGTTAAGCTACACCTTTGCCCTGCAACGTCATCAGCCAGTCATGGGTCAGAAGGACAAAAGCTCATCCTTTCCCTTTGGAGTGGCTCAGGGTGTGGTCTGCTGATGGCCAGGTTTTCCTTACCCCCCAATTACCTATGTCCACACCAGGCAGCGCCTCATCCTCCACGACGTGACCATCTCTAGTAAGTGTTCTTGGGAGCTTAGTTAGATCACAGGTGGCCCAAACCTCCCTTTAATGAAAAATCACTGTTGGATTTTTATCTTAGCTTGCTAGTCTAACCTGCAGTCTTATTCCCAGGCCCAACTACCTCTGTAAAGTGACTCTCCCAGGGCTGTCTATGAAATCCCACCCTCCTCGGTGCTAGACCCCGCTTTGCCTCTGGCAGAGGAGACAAAGCATGTTGACGTCTGATGTGGTTTTGAAGTTTATACTTCCTCTGTGGGTGCCAGTTAAATATTGGAGAGTGAGGAAGACATGCTTTTCTGGCTTTGAACTAAGAAAGGGTTATGAGGTGACAATCGAGGTCAAAATCCATGAGCCAACATTTAGAGCTTTGCTTTTTTCCTATTCCATCCTTACGGTGCTGACACTTGAGCAGCATGAATGACAGAGTCCAACACTAAGTATAAATAGCCTGCTATTGTCTCAGGTGCCAAGGAGTAATAAAACCATGACAAATAAACAATCAATGTTTAGCAGTGACCCTGGTGTTCTGGACAGGGCCCTTGTCAGGAAGAACAATCAAGGCCAGTGGAGACTTAAGTGCTTTCTATGTATTTGGAATTAACAAAAATAGTTTGGGATAGGTCTTGGAGTAGTCAAGATAGAATCTCATGAAAATCCTCAATTCCAGAGATTTTTAGACTAGGTTGCCAAAGGGCAAAAACCATGGAGAAAATAGTTAAAACTTGATTCCATCCTTCCTGGGCTCTTGGACTAAAATTATCTCATTAATTTTCATTTTTGAATCCTTGTTCAATTGGAGTTTGATGCCTGATTTCTTCTAAACCCAAATTCGTTTCCTCCTTCCCTGTGCTCAGCTATGAAGAGACGACATCCACGTTTCTTTGGCCCCTTGTAGTGCGGTCATTTTCCCTTTCCTTCTGTGACTTCCTTTCCATAGCTCATTCTAGTCTGACATTTGCCTAACCCTGCAGATACTTGGGCTATTGCTATGCACTGGATATGGATACGATTCAAAAGCCCTAAAATCTGCTAGAGACCCTAACCACCGTGCTTCAAGGAGCAGTTGCCCCACTGAAGTTCTGTGTGCTAAGGGCTACCTGGTACCATCCCTACCAGTCAAAAGGTATGACTTTTTGGTGCTGTCTCCAGTCTGATGGAGGAACACCCAGCTCCACACTTTGCCCACAAATGGAATCTTGACTGTGTCCACCAGGGGGCTAGAGATTAAGGTTTCTTCACTACCGTGGTAGGGTTATCTGGGATTCCTTTTCAGGTCGTGGTCTTGGGTCTAGCCTCAAGGGGGCAGCAAGGGGTACACTCTGATGTCACTTGTTTTTGATCCTGTCCTCCAGCTGTTGCTTCCAGAAGATACATCTAAAAATACCAAGTCTGCATTTCATTTAATGCCTTAATCACTGGGTCTACAATCAATGTTGACATTTTTAGATTGTAAGCTCCTGGAGAGCAGTGTTGCTTTAGTAGGAATGTTTTAACAGTGTCATGTACAAAAGAACAAAATAAAGATTTTGATTTTGTGAGTCTGTGCAAGTCTGTCTACCTGGAGTGAGCCCAGAAGTAGTCTCGCGTAGTCTCCATAGTCTGGTGTCTGGCCTCGGGCTGCGCCTCGGGTCTCCCATCGTCCAGCACGGTGAGCATGGAGGGGGTGAGTGGCACACACTTGGATTAAAACCCTGGCTCCAGCATTGAAAAGCAGGGTGACCTCAGGCGAGTTATTTTAATAATCCTTGAGCTTCAGTTTCCACATTTATAGAACAGGCAATAATTGCACTTAATTGAATTGGGAGCAGTAGACGAGGGGGGGGGTGTTAAAAGTTCAGGAAACTGATTTAAAAAGATAATAAGACTC